AATTCAATTAAATCATCAGTTATAAATTGATAATTTTATTAATTTTAAAATTTTTTTCAATTACAGATTTGTTGAGCAACCCTAGATTTTAATACGTAACTTATATTATTATTTCTAAAAATATTTTTAATAATTTTAATAGTCAGACAACATAAAAAAATCCAATTCATATTAAAAAATGCTTTTCTCAAAATTAAATATAATAGACCACTCGCTTTAATTAGTTATAACCGTCAATTAACTCTAATTATCTCTACTTAATTATTTTTAATTTCCAACTACCTTATTTAATTTAAATTAAATACAGTAGGACTCGGTTATATTTGCTATCCCTTTTCCGACATTTATTTCTCCCACTCTAGTGTTATCATAATGAAAATCATTTAAATTTCTCAAGAAACAAACAGAAAATTAGCAAGAATTTTTGGGAAAGTGGTGGCTTTGATCCGAATTTTTGCTGGATTAAGACAAGCAAACCAGAGATTGGCCCATGGAAACCGACCCTCCTCTACTTTACCAAAGCCAGACTCAATCCTGCCAATCAAGATCTAAAGAACCCATCCATTTCAAAAGCCTTTAGGAATTTCTTCAATAATTGTTAGAAAAGGAAGAGCAAATTTTATTCAATAAAATACCTCAGATCTGGGTATAAGACATTATGTTCTCTTATCTGGCAAAATAATTGACCCGCATCTGCCCTGCTCTTGTAACAACAGTATTTGAGAGAAAACCAAGGGACTGAACTCATATCTAGGTTCGCAACAATGAGCAAATCCAGATCTGCGTTTCCTCGTGCCACTGCCCTCGCGCCACGAGAGCAAGGCTGGCCTGATGAAGATTGCGACATGAGAGAAGGGAGAACGAGAACAACAGAGAGAGAAGGGGGAAGAGAAAGGAAAGAATAAGAGCACCCATATACCGCAGAAGGGGGAGAAGAACATTGGCATTGAGAGAAACAGAACTGGAAGAGAAAGAAGAGGGAAGGGGTACCTTTGTAATTTTAACTAATAACAAAAAAAAAGAAGTTAAATACTAATTTTGATCCTTAACTTTAAGATTTGGTAAAATTTTATCTATTAATTTTTTTATATGTATTTTTCTATTTATCAATTATAAAAAATATTTTTTTACTTGTTATTTTTTATAAATTATTTCATTAAGTCAATTTAAATATATATTTTTAATATATATTTTTATTTTTATCAAAAAATTAAAAATTAAAAAATATACATATTTAAATTAATTAAAAAATATAAAAAATTTAAATAATAAAATTATATAAAATTAGAAAATCTAGGGACCAATATTACAATCCCGCGATGACGGCCAGCCAGTCGCGCGATCGCGCGGAAATCTGACGATCGGTCGTTCGACCGGACCCACAGATTCGTCGCCAATATTATATACGGCACCCACCTCAACCGTTGTTCATGTACAGCAATGAAGCAGATATTGATTGCCCGTGTTTGCAGTGCTCTGATGAGGAAGCGCCGATTGAAGCAGAGACAGCTTAAATTGAAGGTACGTAGATGTGCACTTGAAGAGATATATATTTCTTGAGAAAAGTTGTGGTAATTTTTTTTAATATATCTGATGGTAAACTATACAAGGTGAATAATCTTTTCCTTTCCTTAAATCTCTTTTTATCTAGTTTAAAATTTAAACTTAAAACGTTTAATTTAAAATTTTAAGATGTTAACCATTAAATCACTTCCTTATAACTAGAAAAGTTGTGGTATTTAGAATGACTGTAAAGATAAATTTATTTTTAAGGGATCGTTTCTTTGGGAGGTTGAGAACCAATTGATAGTCGTGGGATGTTAATCAGACAAATATAGATATTTGGTAAAAAAAAAATTTCAATCAGTAGAAATAGCTAACAGGCATTGAGCCATCAAATAGTTGCGTTTTTCAATGGCTATGCAAGGTAGCTTTTGGATTCAAAAGCGATTATGATTTAATTTTTGATTTATATAAAATTTCATTAGGAGAAAATATTTGTCGCCCCCTCCTCGCCGCGTCCTTGTAGGTACCCCACATAATCGGAAAAATTGCCAACGCTACTTTGCCTCTCTAAAATCAATTTCTGGCTTCACCCTTGAGCAAATCCTTCTGGAATCTCATATACAGTTTTTTTTTTTTTTTTTTTTTTTTCACTTTTTCATTTCGACTAATATTACATTTAATTGAACTAATAATGGTGTGCAGAGGAGGAATGCCAAAGACATGAAGTCAAAACTCCAAAGGCTGAGGGAGGAGATGCAAGAAATTGGCGCTGAACAAAGAAGTATCAGAGAAGGACAAAGACATGTTAGAGAAAAATTTGAAGCAATTGAAGCCGAATGCCAGAAGCTTAAGAGAGAAACTAGACTCGTTATCCAGCAGAGCGCTAGAAACAAAATCCGTCTGGCTATTATGTTTAGGATTTTTAAGGCACGCGAAGAAGGCGACTTTACAAAGGCAATCGAACTCACTAGGTTACTCCGGTATGGCTTCATCTCTCTCGCATTCATGTGCTTCACTCGGAAATCTTTCCTTCACAATTAAACTAGAACGAAAAAAAAAAATTATTAGATTGCTCCGTGTTGAGTTTTGCTTTAATTTGATATTCTGATTTTTCTACTTTTCGTTTCTTTGCAGTGAAATGGTTGTGAGGGACAATCTGTTAATGAGGACACCAGCAAGTGCTGAATGAAAGTTGAAGTTGAAGGTTTACTTATTTCCGATTTGCTTCCAGTTTAGTTTAATAAAGCTGTGTAATGTTGTATTTATATTATAGCTGTAACTGTGTGTGAGAAGTGTTGTATTGTATTGTTAGGAAAAATATTTTAGAATTTGATAATTATATTTTAAAATAATGATTTATTATAAAATTAAATATGTTATTATTTAAAATTAAACTAATTAATAATTTAATATATAATATATAAAAATAATTTGAAAATTTTATTAATTTTAGATAAGATAACTTTTGTATATTTTTTTAAAACAATGAAAATAGATAATTTTTTTTTTTTTTGAACAAGCTTACAATTTTAAGGTAAGGGAAATCGAACCCTCAATTTAAAATGTACTTTACAAGTCAGTTTATGATCCTTGATCGTGAGGCTTAAGCATAAATATAAATAATTTATTAAACATATAAATTATAAAAAGTTTTATGAAAAGTGTTGTAAGGCAAAGGATTTGTTGTTCGACTAGCAAGGCTTCCGTACTCCTAAAATTTTACAGTTCTGCAAATTTTTTGTTGTTAACAAAACTGTCGAGATAGTTTTAATGGTTTAGTGATTATTTTATCTTTATAAAGAATTTTTTTATGTTAAAATTTAAAGACTTACCTCATAAACGTTAAAAGAAAAAAAAAGGAAAAGTACCCTAATTCTTGGTAGGACTGGTATTTTATGCGTGTCGAACTCTTTCCTATTGCAATAATGGTTTATGATTGCAAGTTTGGTGATGGTGATGATTATGGCGTGTAACTAAAAATAATAGCAATTATGGTTTTGAACTATCACTACATCATAATTATCATTTAGTTGCACTATTTTTTTTTATCTACATTTACAATTTTATTGGTATAAATATTTATACTTATAATTTATTAATTTGTATATATATAATTTAAATATACCTATATATTTATAAAAACTATAAGAAATAAAAAACTTTTATCTACAAATATAACTTAATGTTGGTAAAGAAAACATTTATAATTACAATTATAATGAATTATAGAAATAGTGATAATCTATACTTATATGAATATAAAATCCATAACTATAGATTAAAACTATAATGAAAAGGATGTTGGAACTTAAATATTTTAATGAAAATTAAACTAATATATTTTATAAATTAAATTTATTATCTTATTAAAGACTTGGTCAAATTAGTCGTTATAAGTTAATTGTCCTATTTAAAGACACATCATTTCATAATAATTGCTTAATTTATTCCTATCATTAATCTACAAATGAGAGTTACAAGACCATGAGTCCTATGAATAGGGCATGTCTATTTGCTTAAAAAAGAGAATTCCTCTACATTCTTCTATTTTCCTTACTTTGTTTTATCTTCTAAATATTTTTGGGTAAGGAATGATGTTTTGAGTTTAGTGACTCTATAGATAGTGCAAATTCATAGAATGTAATTATAAAGCTGTAACATCCTAGGGACGACATGCTCTATATATGTCTGTTACACCGATTGATCTACACTCCGCAAAGGCGTGAATCATCTTACAATAAGTAAACTGTTCACGCATATTTCGATGATATTTTCTTATCGATTTTTTTTTATAAGTTCACTAATTATTTTTTTATTTGATCTTGTGACCAATGCACAATAATGACATGATGTGGAGATGGAGGAAAGTGTTCAAGAAACAACAATTTTAAGGCAATTCAATATGCAAATCAAAAGTGAAATATTTGAGGTTTTGTGTAAGCATGATAGAAAATTTTGATTTTCTTGAATATATATCTATGTGCCAAACATATATGAGTTCTTGGTACAAATCTACTTAAAAAAAAAAATTAAGGATATTGTACAATACTTTCTTTACTTTTTTACTTTTGCTGTTGAGTAATGTAGGCAAATATGTGTTGTTTTTACTACTACCGTAGTCCTTAATTTATGAGACATTTTCAATAACTTAAATTTTTTTTTTTTTTTAAAAAAAGGGAAAACCTGACATGTGAAAATGTTATACCATGATGCTAGCTATGATCCTTTAAGGAGTTGTGTTTGTTGCTAGTAAATTTCAACATGAATGTGGTTATTACTTGGGTGTTTTTGACATGGCTGTTTATGGTTATTATTAGCCTTAACGAAAATATATTTATTGTGTAATTTATTTCCAACAGTAAAAATTAATTAAATGTATTTATATGTAATCTTTCCCTTGGTTATTGCATGATTATGGACACATTAAAATGACGTAGCCGTTAGTTTTCAAAGCAATGCTAGTAATGTGATTTAACTCCAACGTCTAGTAAAATGCTAAGTGCATTGGTTATGTATTATGTGTAAAATATTGTTCCTAATCATATATTTTGTTAGTTGATTATTTTTGCCTTCTAACAAATCTTTAGTCAATGTTGTGTTGTCTTATTCAATTAGGAATCATGGAAAATGGGTTTATGGAAAATTTTGAGAACCCAAGTGAAAAGACTAAAGAAGAGAGTTACCTAATTTGGTCCATGTAATAATTTTGAAAAAATAGACATGGAATTTGGGTTGATATATTCCAGAATGGTTAAATACCCTTTTTGGTCCCTCTACTATAGGAAAAAGCCCTTTTTTAGTCCCTGTACCAAAAAAATCCCTTTTTTGGTCCTTACTGTTCACAAATCCGGCCCCTTTTTAGTCCCTCCGTTAAATTTTAAATGATGTGGCAGGTTAATTAACGGAAAAAC